ATCAAACGCGGTCCTTAAGAATCCGAACTGCGTGTGTATGTGTGTGTGGGGGGGGGGGGGAGCGCCCACCCGCGTGGGCAGCGTAGCTTGGGGGGTGAGGGAGCGTGGTTCTTGCAACAGCCATGTGGTTCTTATACGTGCTTGAACACACAGTATAAACATAAATAGCAAAGAATAACAACAACAACAAAAAACACAACAAAGGAGAGAGGGAGAAAAGTAGACAAACATCCTCAGTCGTTGTATGTATTGCCAGAACAGCGACGAAGTAACAGAAATACAGAGCCGGTACAATTAATAACACCAGACGTTTTATCCACTTATTCTCTTAAATTCTCTCTTTATTAAGGCTTTTCTTTCCATCATTTAGCATTATTTACTTTTCTGGTAATTATTTTCCTATTCTTATCTGCCTTACTTTAACTTTTAATAAACGGAAAGTATGCATGTGTATGTTTGTATGTGTGTGTGTGTTCGTCTGTGGTGTGTGTGTGTGTGTGTGTGTGCACGTGTGTGTCTGTGTGTGTGCGTGTGTGTGTGTGTGTGTGTGTGTGTGTGTGTGTGTGTGTGTGTGTGTGTGTGTGTGTGTGTGTGTGTGTGTGTGTGTGTGTGTGTGTGTGTGTGTGTGTGTGTGTGTGTGTGTGTGTGTGTGTGTGTGTGTGTGTGTGTGTGTGTGTGTGTGTGTGTGTGCGCGCATATGTGTGTGTGATTAATATATATTATCTTTGCTTCAAATGTAATCATAGACAGAATCCAAAAGATATATTAGATTATTTGTAATTAATCTATAGGCGTTAACGAATAAAAAAGATTGAAAATGAATAATAAAAAATAACGAAAAGATATAACTAACTCACAATCATTAAATCGTTCTTGTAACAATAAAATTTAGATAAATAGAAGACAAAGACAGTATCTTAGATTTGTTCTTATCAAAGGATACTAAAGACACCACAGTGTGTGCTGCAGGGGGGGGGGGAGCTGCTGTTGTGTGTGTGTGTGTGTGTGTGTGTGTGTGTGTGTGTGTGTGTGTGTGTGTGTGTGTGTGTGTGTGTGTGTGTGTGTGTGTGTGTGTGTGTGTGTGTGTGTGTGTGTGTGTGTGTGCGTGTGTGTGTGTGTGTAGAATTCATGTTAGACAAATTGCAAGGTAGAGCAACGAAGGGAAGTACAGGAAGACACACGAATATGCCGAAGGCCTTTTCGTAGTTACTGCTGCGTCAGGGCATACGGAACAAGAGATACATAGAGATATATATATACGCATAGGTCAGGTCATGTCGGAAAGGCCTTCGGCATATTCGTGTTTTCCTGTACTTCGTTGTTCTAGTTGCAGTGTGTGTGCGCATATGTGTGTGTGATTAATATATATTATATTTGCTTCAAATGTAATCATAGACAGAATCCAAAAGATATATTAGATTATTTGTAATTAATCTATAGGCGTTAACGAATAAAAAAGATTGAAAATGAATAATAAAAAATAACGAAAAGATATAACTAACTCACAATCATTAAATCGTTCTTGTAAAAATAAAATTTAGATAAATAGAAGACAAAGACAGTATCTTAGATTTGTTCTTATCAAAGGATATAAAGACACCACAGTGTGTGCAGCGGGGGGGTGGGGGGGGGAGCTGCTGCTTCGTGTGTGTGTGTCTGGTATGTTGTGGTTTATGTGTGTTGGGGGGGGGGGGGGGGCTGCTGCTGTGTGTGTGAGTTCTTCAGTTTGATGTTTACAACAGCAGTAACACCAAGATTTATTCAAAGGTATTGATTAGTAAATTATTCATTTTCAGGTGTTCCTTTCAGTGTGCGATTTATCTATATTAACTTTGCTTCATATGCTATCTCAGACACAGTCAAAAAGACAGACTACTTGTCATTAATCTATAGGTGTTAACGAATAAAAAAGATTGAAAATGAATAATAAAAAATAACGAAAAGGTGTAATTAATTCACAATCAATAATTCGTTCTTGTAACAACAAAATTTAAATAAATAGAAGACAAAGACAGTATCTTAGATTTGTTCTTATCAAAGGATATAAAGACACCACAGTGTCTGCAGCAGGGGGGAGGGGGAGCTGCTGCTTCGTGTGTGTGTGTCTGGTATGTTGTGGTTTATGTGTGTTGGGGGGGGGGGGGGCTGCTGCTGCTGTGTGTGAGTTCCTCAGTTTGATGTTTTCAACAGCAGTAACACCAAGATGTATTCAAAGGTATTGATTAGTAAATTATTCATTTCCAGGTGTTCCTTTCAGTGTGCGATTTATATATATTAACTTTGCTTCAAATGCTATCTCAGACACAGTCAAAAAGACATAGACTACTTGTCATTAATCTATAGGTGTTAACGAATAAAAAAGATTGAAAATGAATAATAAAAAATAACGAAAAGATATAACTAACTCACAATCATTAAATCGTTCTTGTAAAAATAAAATTTAGATAAATAGAAGACAAAGACAGTATCTTAGATTTGTTCTTATCAAAGGATATAAAGACACCACAGTGTGTGCTGCAGGGGGGGGGGGGAGCTGCTGCTTCGTGTGTGTGTGTCTGGTATGTTGTGGTTTATGTGTGTTGGGGGGGGGGGGGGGCTGCTGCTGCTGTGTGTGAGTTCCTCAGTTTGATGTTTTCAACAGCAGTAACACCAAGATGTATTCAAAGGTATTGATTAGTAAATTATTCATTTTCAGGTGTTCCTTTCAGTGTGCGATTTATATATATTAACTTTGCTTCAAATGTAATCATAGACAGAATCCAAAAGATATATTAGATTATTTGTAATTAATCTATAGGCGTTAACGAATAAAAAAGATTGAAAATGATAATTTTAATGGACATTGATAATAATAACAATGATAAAAACAGTAACAAAAACAGCAATGATAATAATGATAATATTATTATTAAGAATAATAATTATATTGATAACGCAAAAAAATTACAACTATAATAATAGCAATTAGTAGTTATAGAAATGATACTACAAAAAAGGGTAAACATATCAGTAATCATTCAGATAAGCAATTAGTGCAAATGATAAGATAAGAATAAGGAAATAACAAAGCTAAGATTCATAATAAATATATTACATTAATTTCGTCTATTGTTTTTTTCAAGGGCTTGGAAACCGGCTTGCCTGCAGCAGAGAAAACGGCGGGGAGTAGGGGAGACTACAGTTTGTTTTCCATGTTGCCGAAATCGGAACAAATCCGTGGCTTTATCAATGATCGACTGCCTGTGAGTTTGGTTCTCTGCATTTTCCCTTTCTTTCTTCGGCTTGTTTTTTTTTCTGCTTTATTCTTCGTCTTCTTTTTTATTATTATTTTTCTTCGTCGTCGTCTTCGTCGTCTTATTATTCTTATTCATGTATCTATTCTTGTCTCATTTAAGTGAATAAATGCACGGTGAATTATTTAGTATGTTATATTTTCTGCAGTTACTGTGGTATATGCCACAGTATATTTTTTTTTTTTTTTTTTTTTTTTGTTATCGTTCCCATTATAATTGCTGTCATTGCTGTTGCTGTTGTAAGTGTATTACGTGATTTACGAATATCAGAGCAACATTTTATAATTCTTGTTTAGTGCTTGCCATGTCGAAGCATCGCGTTACGTGGCAGAATGATACTTCGAGTGTATAAAATGAAGGTTCGCTTCATATGTCACGTAAGTGTTCCGATACAAGTAGCGCCGTGTAATTAATTCTGTGTTTCTGTCGCAAAGACCCTGAAATCCCCGTGCCGGTTTTTCCACTCATGTTTATCCGTGTGTTATGCCTTTTGTTCTTCCTGCTTTGATAACCTTGACTCTTATCTTTATTTTCTTATTTATTTATTTATTTTTTATTATTGCATATTATGAACCGTTTCTCTTCCTGTCTTAGTTCTAGTCGTCGAGTGAGTCATGGATAATTATTTTCGTTGGCTTTAACCTCACTTCCGTTCTTAACCTTATCTAAAGGATCCTTCATGATAGCTTATCCTGTTGCATCCTGTCTTGTCTCCTTAGGAAGAAAAAAACCTTCAACATTATCATCTCTTATTATAATTATTATTATCATTATTATTATTATTGTTGTTGTTATTATTATCATTATTATTATTATGATTGTTGTTGTTGTTTTTATCATTATTATTATTATTATTATTATTTTTATCATTGTTATTATTATTGTTATTATTATCATTACTATTATTATTATCATCGAAAATCAAAGACTGATATAGACTCAAGGAGAGTCCTCCTGATGAGCAAACATGAATATGAAAAAAGGGATAAAGAAAGGATAAAAGATATTAAAAACGTAGCTTAAGAATAGGAATTTGTTAATTTTAGATTTAAATCTACTAGTGGCAACTTCAGAAACAATATCATTAGGAAATAAATTCATACTTTAGTCATGAAGGAATAAATGCGTTCACTCGCAAACTCTGACGTGTCTGGCGGCGCACTACGAAGAGGATGTTCATTATTGTTAACAATAATAATAAAAATTATAATAAAGTCAAAGCCCCTGCCGTTCGCTGATGTGCAAAATTTTTAAAGGAGTCTGAGAAACCGATACCCTACAATAAGGATCCTCTATCGGTTACTTTTTATCACTTTAAAGAACACATCACGTCTGCAATAATGATAGCAATGTTAGCAATAATGTTAATGTTGAAGTTAATATGAGCATGATGTCAGTCTTGGGGATAAAAACAATGATGATAATAATGATAATAATAATAATAATGATGATGATGATAATGATAGTAGTAATAATAATAATAATATTGATGATAATAATAATAGTAATGATAATGATAATGATAATAAAAATAAAAATAATAATAATGGTAATGATAATTATGGTAATAGTAATAGCAATATTAACAATTATTATTATTATCAGTATTATTACAACGATAGTGATGCTAATAATAATGATGATGATTGCGGCGATGGTAATGATGAAGATGATAGTGATGGCGATACATGATAACGGCAGAAATAGAAATAAATGATAATGAGTAAATGATAATGACCATTGCGATAACAATGATATTAACACCGAAATCATTATCATCATCATTTTGATAACTAATCACATGTAACATCATCACCATCGCCTCAGCTCTCATTGGTCTTACAGTCATCATCGCCATCACCACCACAAGGGTCACACCACCGTTAACACCATTCCCACCTTCGCCATTCTCTCTCTCAGGTAAAGGAGATGTCGAACAAGAAGCACGTGCTGCTGAGTATCGTGCTGGGCGGGGCGTACATCCTTTACTTTGCGTCCGTCATGGTCATCAAAACTAAAATCGAGGTAATTTTTAAGATATGGTTATAGGAGGCTTTTTGAACATATGTGTAGTGGTATATATATGTGTATATATATATTTGTATATGCATTAATGTATGAATATGTGTATATATGTATATATGAAGGAGGCAAAAGGGAGGGAGGTCACCTTTCGTAATGTACTTGAGTGATATTTAGGATTTGATACTAATGTTTACTGTAGCAATGATAATATTTCCAGGATACGGATTACTGGTGTGATGCAGACGGTTTACTTATCATTCTGACAACACTGGTGGGATTAGGACTCCTGTATTTTAAGGTAATTTTATATTATGTCTTTACTAATGTTTGAGATTTTGTTGCGTCTGTTTATGTACCTTTTGAAAGTGTTTGTCTGTATGTGTTTGCTTTTGGCTACGCTGTATGTGTGTTTTTATTTTGGCTTTTAGTCTTGCATTTTTCTCGTGTGTTATCGGCATATAGCATATCTTTAAAATCTCTCATTAAGTGTACATCTACGCCAGGGGTCTCTAAAGTGGTCGATAAACACTGGAGCCGTTTGTAGTTTAGGGTCGTAAGCTGACATTCGTACAAGAATTAATAATGCATGAAATAAAAGTTGCTGATACACGTTTCTTCTTTATTTGTGGTAATTTTTTTTTGTCTATTTATTTTGTATTATGTTTAGTGAAACATAATGATAATATTATAGTTACAATCATATATCATTGTTTGGTATCACAAGACAATGGACGGTTATAACAATACCTGTTTCCATGTGGATGTATTAGCTCATATGCTCTATTCTTAAATGACTTAATAAACTTAACTACATTGTTCACCATTAGTACTGTAGTTCTGTAACATTTGAAAACATTTTAGCTTTGCCTACTCAGGTACTCAGATCACCTAACTAATGTTACTGGAAACTTCACATGTACTTTATTCTTGTTATTATTATTATCATTATTTTTATCATTAATACTATCATTATCATTATTAGTAGTAGTATTCGTGTTATCGGTATTTTGTATTATTATTATCATTATTGACAATATTATTGTCATTATTATTATCATTATCATTATTATTATGTGTGTCCATGTGAGGGGATTCAAGGATTCCATGAAGCGATCAATGGTCCAAAAAGTTAGGGGACCCGTTGTGCTTGATTATGACTATAAACTATTTATCCGCATCTTTAGATATAAAAACTCGCACGTAAACCTAACTGCTTGCAAAGGTTGACATAAAAAAATATATTTCTCACAGGTACTCAAACCTCTACTAGGCAAGAAATTCACAGAAGCCGTCGTCAAACCGTGCAGTCGAATACTCAGTCCATTCATACACAGTCGGTGAGTGAGAGTTTATACAGAAGGCAGTCATTCAGAATACCTTTCAGCACGGGCAAGTCATCAGTCAAATCGTGGTGTCAAATATGGCTCCTCGAGATGGTCACAAATAACCCGCTGGGTGACAAGAATAATTATTAGACTGTGAAATTACGATGAAGGAAAAGGATGTATGATTAAATTACTTACAGTTCATGATAAATTTTTATTGCATAAAGACAACAGTTTCATTTATATTACTACACACAGAAAAGTATTATAAGTGAATGTTATTAAACAACTTTAAACCGAAGACCCAGTTATTGTTTTACATACTCAACGTAAGGTAAATGATGCACGTTGTATGGTAGTTTTGTTCTGCAGTAATATGATGTCATGACAGTAGGTCTTTTATGTTTAAAAGATAATAAAAACGATGTAAATAGGCCATGATTAATGCATATGCATATAAATTATGTTGCCATTAGTTTCACCATTTCAAATTTGATAGGTAAAATAAATTTTACGGACAGACACGGAGCATGCGACAGATTTTGATAATGTTGGCCCTCAGAATGATATCTGAAATGAATATTGGCCCTCGAAGGATTTTGTGTTTGATAACCCTGGTCTCATCTAAGTCAATCATCTCGAAGGTTTCCTCCATATTTTATGTCGCTTTCATTTACCCCAAAACCCGGATTCGGGTAAGGAAAATGATTGTTTGTTTACTTCAAAAGAACATACGTTACCACTATTCACGCATTATATGAATTAGCTGCCCATTGTAGAAACAAATTATCTCCAGCCTTCAACCTTTCTGAACGTATACCCATCCCATAAAAAAACAGTAATGACTCAATCACACGATGTTTCTGGTGTCCAGGTTCGCAAGACTTATCGGGTACTTGCTGGTGGCGGCGGTGATCGTCGTGGTGGTGGTGGTCGACTCCTGGAACGACCAAATACGAATGCAGAGCCTCCTTGGCATGGTCGTGCTGCTGCTGCTCGGTTTCCTCTTCTCGGCGGCGCCGCGGAAGGTTGGTCGAGGCTCAGTCATCTGTAGGAAGGGAGATGACACGCACGCAGGCAAAGTCTATACGAGTATAAAATAGGTTTCGTCACTTCGGAGTTCAGGCAGCTTTGGGTGATAAGGCCTATGACGTCACTAGGTGTCGGCTGAGATTGGGGAGGGGGGGTGAATAGAGAATGGTAGGCTGGGGTAAAGAGATTATAGAAGACGGTACCAAACTGAGCAAGACCTAAAGTAATATTAGATAATGATTCATTCTGGCAAGTTGCACATTGGATTGATTTTACAGCTGATGATTATCAGCGCTTGTATGTAGGTATATATCGGTATATTTTACTTGGTTTCGATTTTATATTTCCTCATGATACAGCTTAGGTATGTTATGATAAAAAGTAAAACGAACAAAGAAGGCATGGATGATAATATTGTTTTATTTTATCAAGGTATGTGTATAGTGGTAACGCTTTTGTCGAACTTATTATAAAGACATAAATCATACAACTAAGGTATCGCAATACACATCGCATATATCTATAAAATCAAAGTAGAGCTTATATATATATATATATATATATATATATATATATATATATATATATATATATATATATATATATATGTATGTATGTATGTATGTATATATGATAATAATAATAATACATATACACTCATATACCTGTACATATCTAAGCTAAATGACAGTAAATATATAGTCTCTAGTGTACAAATATTGCAATATACCTCTGAACATGTATGGGCCATTGCGGCTTTTGCGTACACCAGGCGAGCGAAAACGGAAATCTACATTCCCATCAACGACTGACCTCATCATGAGCGTTGAACCCCTAAGCTATACTCCATGTGCTGTCATGCGCAAGACGGACCTTGCCTGCACGAATGCATGCAAGCACGTGCGCACGAACACGCGCGCGCACACTCACACACAAATATATATATATATATATATATATATATATATATATATATATATACATATATACATATATATGTATATATATATACATATATATGTATATATAAACATATATATGTACATATATATATACATATACACACTCGTGTATGTGTGTGTGTGTTCTTGTATATATGTGTGTGTGTGTATATATATATATATATATATATATATATATATATGTGTGTGTGTGTGTGTGTGTGTGTGTGTGTGTCTGTGTATATATATATATGTACATATATATAACTATACATATATATATTTATGTATATATGTATGTATGTATGTATGCATGCATGTATGCATGTATATAATTAAGCACCTTATGTGAGCTTTTGCTCCCGCCCGCAGGTGCGATGGCGCCACGTGGCCTGGGGGATGGCGCTGCAGTTCCTCCTGGGCCTGCTGATCCTGCGCTGGTCCGTAGGGCGCGCCGTGTTCCAGTGCGTGGCCGGGAAGGTGACCACGTTCCTCGCCTTCACCGACGAGGGGTCCAGCTTCGTATTCGGAGAGCTCGTGTCCGAAAAGGGGATCTTCGCTTTTTCGGTGAGTGGCTTGGAGGCCAGGGGCGCATCCCCTACCCCAGCTCTCTCTCTCTCTCTCTCTCTCTCTCTCTCTCTCTCTCTCTCTCTCTCTCTCTCTCTCTCTCTCTCTTGATACAACTAATCGTGGCATTCTACGAGTAGTTATTGTAATAATTGCTTGAAGCGCCAGTTCATACAAGATGAACTACTAAATTCTCTTTCCTGTTTATTCCATCGATAATTATGATTAGTCTTGCAATTTATCAAGCCACTTCCATTCTGCTGTAATGTTTGTTATCTTCAAATGATTTTCTTTTAAAATGGCTAACTACTTGCAAAGCAAATGCACAATAGGTAGAAACAGACAAACGAATTGTAAAATGTTTTAATTAGTTCTTAAAATGAGTACAATCGTTTTCTTAATTTCTGGCGGCCTTTTCCATAGATCCTCACCACCCTTCTCAACCTACAGGTGCTCTCAGTGATCCTGTTCTTCAGTTTCTGTGTGCAAATCCTGTACTACTGGGGCGTCATGCAGTGGGTCGTCATCAAGTTAGGCTGGGTCCTGCAGGTCACCATCGGCACCACCGCCTGCGAGAGTGTCAACGCCGCTGCCAACATCTTCCTCAGCCAGGTGGAACATGCTTTTATATCCATATTTGGAGGGACAAGAAACTGTCTTCTGTGTTATATGGTCGAACAAAAGGCTGTGATGGATTCTTATTATCATGAAAGAAAGATCAACACTGGAAAGCCAAAGTTATTAATGTAATTGCAGGAAAGCTGTGAACTAGATTATTATAACAATTCCGTATATTCTAACCTATCCTACACAGACCGAAGCCCCCCTGCTAATCAAGCCGTACCTGCCGCTTATGACCAAGTCGGAGCTGCACGCTGTCATGACGGGCGGCTTCGCTACCATCGCCGGCTCCGTCCTGGCCGCCTACATCTCCTTCGGCGTCGACCCCGCCCACCTCATCTCCGCCTCCGTCATGAGCGCCCCCGCCGCACTTGCCTACGCTAAGCTCTTCTACCCGGAGACTGAGGAGTCGAGGACGACCACCAGTGACATCCAAATCGAGAAAGGGTTAGTTTGTGTGCGGGAGAGGGAGGGAGAGCGAGGGCGGGGAGGGAGGTATTTCATTTATTAACGTCTTGGGGGTACCTTATGGTCCGTATTTGTCGACAGGCCACTCTAGCCATTGTTCAGCCACTCAGGGATAAATATGTCTGATTATTCCTGAATCCCGCCCTCTTCACGCAGTGAGGAGACGAACTGGCTGCACGCCGCCATGGTGGGTGTGACCAACGCCATCCCGCTCGTGGCCAACATCGCCGCCAACCTCATCGCCTTCTACGCCTTCATCGCCCTCTGCAGCCACGTCTTTGACTGGACCTGCGTGCTAGCCGGCGCCGAGGAGGGCCAGTGCTCGCTCGAGGTGAGAAAAACACAAGTACTCAAATAAAGTAACATTTAGTAGATCCTAGCCTACATACAGCACTCAGTTGTAAGCAGAACAATATTGGCAAAAAAAAAAAAAAAAAATCAGATTCCTTCTTCCCTCAGTCATTGTTCGGGTGGATCTTCATGCCTCTGGCGTGGTTGATGGGCGTGCAGTGGGCGGAGTGCGACAAGGTGGGCGAGCTGGTGGCGCTCAAGACGATCGTGAACGAGTTTGTGGCTTATGCGCGGCTGGAGGAGATGCTCGAGGCTGGGGAGCTCTCGGTGAGACAAGTGGTTTTTATATTCACCAAAAGTAAAACTAAAATCCCCCTCTTATATCTATGATAACGAAGAGTTCCTTACCTTAAACAGCCGCCTGAATACTCTTGGAAAAAAGTCAATTTCCTTTTTGGGTTCAATAGGCTAAATGGAAGTGGAGCTACCTGTTATATGTACCTTGGATTTTCATGTAATTTCCTTTGACACGTCCTTTTTCAGAAACGCGCCGAGATCATCGCTACGTACGCCCTGTGCGGCTTCAGCAACTTCAGCTCCATCGGCATCAACCTGGGCGGCTTCGGCGCCATGGCCCCCGAGAGGAAGGCCGACCTCGCCAAGGTCGTCGTGAGGGCCATGATTGCCGGAAGCGCGGCCTGCTTCCTCACTGCCTGCGTAGCCGGTATGTAGTTTGCATGTATTCAGGGAGGAAATATAGTAGAGGCAGAATGTAGGTGTATTTTTTTTTCTTTCTTTCATTTTTGCGAGCTCATATTGCTGAAAACACCAGAGGGATATATCGCGAAAGCAGAGATATCTAAGATTGTGAAAATTGTAGAGGAAATATAATCGACGACGGGGGATAAAGAAAGCACGAGAGAAAGCGTCAGCGGCCAGCAGTGAACCCATTTCTACACTGAACTTGGCACTCGGCACCTCTAGCCCTTTGTCTTTGTCTTTGAGTTATCTGTGGGCTCATTATGAAGGATCTCCGCCACGGCATCCGGTTGTGCTACATGGCAGTAGCATACAGTGCCTAATCATAAATAGACACTTCAAAACAAAATATTTTTTGTAATATCGTACATGTAGTGCAATGTTTGCGCGCGCGCGCGCGTGCGTGTGTGTGTGTGTGTGCATGCGCGCACGTGTGCGTGTTTGTGAACTTGCGTGTATGCGGACGTACGTGAAACCATATCGAACTTTTGATAATTATGCACATCATACACTACATATTATACATACTTTGATAATATATTACATCATAAACACCAAAGTAATTACAGTTTTTCTTCCCACAGGAACACTTATCAGCGACCTTCCCGAGAACTAAAGCAGACGAAACAAGGGCTCTTGTGCTTAAAAAAAAAAAACGACAATGCTCTTAGGCAGCTGCAGACAATTGTTGATAGTTTCTACAGGGAAGATTTTTTTTCTCATAACATAAAACAAACTATTATTATTGTTAACATTATCATTAAAGATGATGTGGCTATTATTTTCAATTTACTGTTATTAATTCATCTTATTGTTACTGTAGTGAAATAGGTGTTTACTTAATCAGTAATCAATGGCTTCTCTAGGGAGTAACTAAGATCAGACCCTGTATTGTTAGTTAGCTTAGTTAGTTAGTTAGCGCACTCGTCCGAATACGTCCGAATTCCCCGTCTCGCCTTTCTTAGGAATTGAGGGTCAATCTGATGGTCGCACTTTTGTAACTTTAGAGTTGGTTCTTCTTTTTTTCTTCTCTTATAGGTTTTTAGACTCTTGGGGGCATTTCCTTCAGGAGGAATGCCCGGGAAACGGTAGGAGGGATTATCGCGTGAGAGGGGGAGCATCGGGTCGGACGGGCGCGACGAGTAACACGTGGGCTGAATAGCAAGGGCTCAGAGGTGTATCCCGTGTTGACAGGAGGGCTTAGTGTTGACTGTGAACTATTGTTTTTGTACGAGATATTGTGGCCTGATCTCAATAAAGCCTCTTAATGAACACCACGTATGATTTGCTACCTCCAAAGAAAACAACTGGAGATAGTTACTATCAAATGGTTAATGGTTAAAAGCAAAATAAGTATGCTAGACATCTAAGGTCATATAGCACTATAGTAAATGGTAGTGAAGGGTGGTAGAATTCGTGATTAGTTGTCAATGTAAAGGGGTTAGATCAAGTGGAGGATATATATGCGTTTGAGGAAGGAAAATAGGTTGTCAAAGCATAAAATATATTGTGGATGGATTATAAGAGGAAAGGATATGACGAAAGGATGGCGGAAGGGTTAATGTAGCTGGGGCTGGAGTCTGGGGAGATGGGCTGTGTTTGGAGGGGGTAGGATGATAGGGTGTAGGGGGGATATGAGTAGGAGGATGGATATCGGCAGTCACTTTGAGTGTGGAGGGAACGGGAGTTGTGGAATTTGAAGGTGGATGAGGGGTTTTAGTTGGGAGTTCCCCATCATTGGGTTCCAGTGTCCGCCTCCTAAGCCCCCCCCCCCACAACAACAACGGGCAAGGGACTGGGGGGTAGTCACTATCAAAGTAAAATTAATCTATGTTAACTTGGTATGATTAATGTGTATTATCTTGGAAGACTGAGAACCCTAAATTGTGCAGTCCTGTCAGGTAGAAAGATTTTTTTTTGACTGACAGCTTCAGGCCTTAAGATTGTGCTTGCTTCGTATGAGCGTTTATTATAATAAAACACAATTTCTTTTTACCTTTTTATCATTTCATCTTGTCCTGCATCGTGTGATAAATATTCAAACCAAGGGTTAATATCTGAAACTAGTTGTTTATCACTGAACAAAGTTTTTATTTACTCCAGAACAATCAGTATATAAATATAATATTTACAAATCGAACAGCTAAAAAACAGAAGAAAATATAATCGGGGGACTTAGCTACGTTAAACGAAGTTATATACACACTTCCAAGACGATTAAAATTCAAGTCTCTATTCACGTGGTCATTCCAGGGATTTTCCTAGATTTAAAACTATGTGTATTTAATCCAGATTTTGTCTATTTGCTTCGTTTTTCCTTCGGCCAATTTCAGAATTCAGTGCACACTATACTGATTATTAATAGAATGTACAATTTACAAATATTCGTAAAATGTATTACCGTCAAAGGCTTGTACACTTGAGCATTTGTAATGATATGTAAATTTCTAAAAAAAACAACAACGACAATTGTAGTTGACGTTGCGTACCTATTGTATTCCGTGCTATGGAACATGCGTTTATACAGTACACTATAAAGTACACTATATATCATACATACACAGATGTACATACGGACGGATGTATCAATAAAGAACTGAGGATTAGAGACTGACAATAAAAATAAATAAATAAAAGAAAAGAAAAAATAGAAAACTGGCACGTAATCCAATTAATTCTTGAAATAACAACCTCTAATGGAACGACCATAATAAAGGCAATATAAATTAAATCATATACATATATTCTCTTGAATATACATCTGTAATATATATACACATTATATCACGTATCATAAAAGATTTATTCCAAAATGAAGATTCATAGTCTCAACATATTTACAAGACGTATTATAAAAAAATAATGGTTCACAACCTTTTAATTGCATATTTTTAGGCGAAGAGAAAAAATATCCAGCAGTCCTTATCCACCTAATATTATATTCCTTGAAGACATGGTTTAATAGTATATTCTTAATATGGACACTGGCAAACGCCTAGTTAACTGGCCTTCAACATTTTTTTCTATCGAGGCCTCGCGATCCACTGGCTAAGAACCACTGATCTAAAACATATACTTGATTATATGCAAAAAAAATATTCGATGTACAAGAATAAACTTTAAAATTAATGGAATGTATGGATTGGAATATGTGAAATTGGAATATACAAAATTGAGCGCAAACATTTCTGCACTTGTGGAAATACTGATATATGCTTTTCTTATGAAAAGATATACATATGTACAAACCTAAACTTTTTCCAAACTTAACAAGGACGAAATATTAAAAAAAGGTGCATTTCTATACTACATTCCACATGTTGACAGGCTGTATGTGAAAATCAGATTAAAAAATGTTCTGTGCCTAATTACAATACTGTTTAAAACTCATTTGAAAAAAAAATACATTCATTTCTCTTTCATACTGAGCTAGCAATCTTGTAAATCCCTCTGTTGGCAACTTGGCACAGTCATAAAATGGCGTCCAAAACGTCCTAAGACCTTTCTCGTTTATTGTTTATACCTAACTTAATACTGCAAAGATTCTGCAAAAACTCTGCAGAGATACTTAGTGCATTTTTTCATAGCACCACAAACAATATTCATATAAATACCATCCTCTGTACAAGTATTGCTAGCACTGAAGACGCCGCTACGATGCCTACTATAACACACCAGCTTTTCCACGTTAAAGCAGACCCAACAACGGTCGAACTAGGTGAACGCCGCTTGAGTTCCGTTGATGGCCGCCGCAGCGCCGCCCTGCGCATTGTCGCTCAGCAGAGTGCCTGGGGAGAGAAGCGTCTTAGTTCGCAAATTGTTTATATAATCATCTGCTTGAACATTCATATGGACGCGGAGGTGTCTATGTGCCTGTATCTTATACACACGACAGCACACAAAATGTTATATTAGTGGTTGATTTTTTTAAAAGTATCTGCCGCGTCAACAGTTACGGTCATTAACGGCAATTGTATTAGTGAGAGGTAAACTTAAATACACAGCCAGCGCGAGGTCCTAGCCTTCGCAGTTCATGCAAAGAACATACCGGCCACGCAGGCAGTGAGGAAGCAGGCCGCGCTTCCGGCAATCATGGCCCTCACGACGACCTTGGCGAGGTCGGCCTTCCTGTCGGGGGCCATAGCGCTGAAGCCGCCCAGGTTGATACCGATGGAGCTGAGGTTGCTGAAGCCGCACAGGGCGTACGTGGCGATGATCTCGGCGCGTCTCTGGGAAATAAATTCAGGCGTTTGTGAAAGTCAGAACGATATGGAAAGAACGGAATGGGGAGTGTGACAACACACGGATTATAAAGATTCAAAAGCTTGTGATAGTTTTTACGAAAGGTATCTACGAAAATGAATTTGCCACAGACCAAGACCAACTGTCGTTTCAGGGATACGGCCTTCGCCAATGAATCAATTAAAGTCATCACGTCTTGTGAAATTATCCATTCTCATTCATACAACAGACAATATATACACTCTATCGAAACACATATTACCCATGGAAATACTAATTACACATCCTGCCTTGTGAAATCATTCACCACCTTTCACAATTTGCTTACTATATACCGAGCTCGCCAGCCTAGTCACCGCCTGACCGACAGATCGCCGTTCTTCTTCATTTCGGAGAGCCTCTGGTACGCTAGGAACTCGTTCGCCATGGACTTGATGCCGATCAGTTCGCCCACTTTCTCGCACTCTGCCCAATCCACGCCCATCACCCGTGCCAGGGCATGAAGATCCACCCGAACAGGGACTGTCACGAAAGAAACAAAAAGGTTAGTACGGAAGTATTAGTCCTTTAATCTATGTAGGCCTATAAGTATCCCTAAATATATATACTGTACACACAGCAGTTATAATGGTGTTAAGTTCTTGATTCTACCTCGTGTTTCTTTCACTGAGATGTCTCTTGAGCATTTATACTATAGTGATAAAAAATAAATGGAGAGATATGTATGCCGGGGACAAATGGCATTTTTTTAATATGAAGTATTGCTGTGTAAATGCTATTCACATTCTCCAGTCTTTAGTAGGAATGCAATGAGAATAAAACAAGTTCCTTTATCAACACGTTTTAAGATTATATCGCGGATACAAAGGCCCACCAACATCCGTTGACGTTCAAATTATAGCATAACTGATATCCCCCCCCCCCCCACTTCCCTAAAAAAAAGGATTCGAACCGACGCAAACTGAACTTACAAGACCCATAAACCCTCTGCCAAGACTTACCTCCAGTGAACACGTGCCCTCCTGTGCCCCAGCCAGCGTGCAGGTCCAGTCGAAGACGCCGTTGCAGAAGGCGATGAATGCGTAGAAGGCGATGAGGTTGGCGGCGATGTTGGCCACGAGTGGGATGGCGTTGGTCACGCCGATCATGGCGGCGTGCAGCCAGTTGGTCTCCTCTCTGTGAAAGATTTTTTTTTTCAATTATTTTTTTGTTTTTTGGATAAGGAGGATGAAAAAAAGAGATTTGAATAAACCATCTTTACCCCATTTTCTAATGTGAAAGATAGTTACAGTATTCTTATTACTGCTATGATCGTATTTTTCCCTGTTTCCAAATAATAAAATCCACGATCTCCTCAGTTACCCTCTTTCGATTTTGATGTCCTTGACGCCCGTTCTCGACACCTTCGTCTCAGGATAGAAGAGCTTGGAGAAGGCGAGGGCGGCGGGGGCGCTCATAACGGAGGCGGACAGGAGGTGGGCGGGGTCGACGCCGAAGGAGATGTAGGCGGCCAGGACGGAGCCGGCGATGGTAGCGAAGCCGCCCGTCATGACAGCGTGCAGCTCCGACTCGGTCATGAGCGACAGGTAAGGCTTGATTAGCAGAGGGGCTTCGGTCTTCAGGGGAGAAAGTGGCTCATTAGTTCAAGTTTCCGAGGAACGAAACGCAGCCTCAGGAACCAAAAGAAACAAAGTCAAAACTAGATAGCAGCATATTTTGATTAAAATTTCTCTCCTATTTTTTGACATTTTGCTCATGCGTCAACTGTTTGTATTTTGGTGACGTAAAGGAAGAAGGACTGGTTTCAGATCTTAAACTGATCTGTGGAGAATGTCTCTTTAATCAATTAAACCAATGACTTTTTTTCAAATTTTCTTTAGATATGTCTCTAATTTGAGGTTAAAAATAGCAAGGCAACAGGGCCTGTGCGTGTGTT